GGGGGGGGGGGGGGGGGGGGATCGAAATGTTGGTTATACGTTAAACCTGTGATTCCACAGTACACGGTAAAAGCGAGGATAGCGAAATAAATTCAATTTCATTGATATAATTTGTCCTCACTTCGACCATGATGACTGAAATTTCCGTTTTCGCTGTTTCAACGTCAAAACAGGTTGTTCGAGGTGGCATTTGTAAATAGCAAGTTTGTGAAAAAAAAAGTTTCAGAGAGAAGTTAGTGGATGTCGGTATCAGCGAGATAGTTGCTTATTTATCTATAGGTTGTTTAAGCAAGCGCGAGCTATTATTGGAAGCGTCAAGGTAGAATTAAAAATTATGAATTACACTTTAAAGTAGAATTAAGGTTTCGACTCGGGCCGGCTGTTAAATCGAATCGAAATTTTAGTCCTATGTCAAACTTTTACTTCTACAACACAGTATAGGAACTAATACGGCAAAATAAGTGCACGCACAATTTCAATAATAATAATATAATTTATTTCTATAATTTACTTTAACCATAATAATGTCTTAAATTTCCGTTTTAGTCAAAATTTAGTCAAAATTAAAATCGTTAAAGAAAAATAACATTTTTAATTGTTTCGTTAACACTTGTTAGAATTCGTTTGATAGATTTATTCCGGAGAACGATAGTGGTGTTGCTAGTATTTCCGCACAAAAGTTACATACAACAAACAAGTCAGAAGTTCTAACAAACCAACAGCGCGATTATTATATTCTTGATTTTTTCCCTGTATTTACTGTGATAAATCATGGTCATTTGCTGTAAGTGTCACAACGATATAATATTTAACGAAACAAATACCCGTGAAACGATGTCTCGGAGCATAATAACAATGAATTATTTATATTCTTTTATATATGGACCTTTGGCTGCAAAACATGTACATTGTGGAGGAGCAACTGCGGAAATTGCTGAATTTTTGGCCATCTGTATATTTAATGAAGAATTTCATAGTATTCTAAACATTACGTCACTCATGGGGGTTACAATAGGACCGAAAGCGAAAGAGTACAATACCATCGATATCAGAGACGATGAGCGCATCATGCGTTATGAGTGTCGAGCGTCTGCTAACCCAGTAAAACCTGCACATGTCTATGAGAGTCGAGCGTGTAATCGAAATTTTTTGGAACAATAAAGTCGCACTCGTTTCCATTAGCATTCGCTAATAAATAAAAAGATCTTTGACGTATGATTGAATCATACTATTTGAAAATTAAAAGTCTTCTGAGTTATAATATGTTATTATTCAGTATATAATATTATTTAATATGTTATATGTTATTTGAAAATGAAAAAGCCCGGCTAACCTGTCATTGAATGGTACTGCGACCTTAATTTACCAATAAAAATGATGGTGAATTTAATTATATTTTTTTTACAAAAGATCGATCTGCTAAACTTGTTCAGAAACAACTAATAGACTGCTTGGTGCCATCTAGCGGTGTGTGTTGAAACCTTATTGTGTATAGAAGTTACAGTCTTGGTAAAGTAAGCTTCGAATTTCGGTTGAAAAGGGCTTGAGTCTCGTTTAACGTAACTTAAGAGAGAAATTTGTATTGAAAGTGCGACTACTCCAGCTAAAATCTGGCCAGCTCGTTTAAAGTTTAAGCCTATAGCGCACACAAATTATATATATATATATGTGTGTGTGTGTGTGTGTGTGTGTGTGTCTATCCATTTTATGGATACACCTTTTTATTTGAAATTATAACGCAAAATTTCAAATATCACAAAGAAGCCAATTTTTTAAAACAACCTCAGTTAAAACCTCAGTTAAAACCTCAGTTAAAACCTCAATTAAACCTTATATAAAATCTCAATTATTCTGGAAACCTGACGTGCCAGCGAAATTTGATTTGTAGCATAGTTTTCGGCAAAATTCCAAAAATCTATAAAAAACACCTTGTTTGGTCCGAAGTTTAACTTTTTTTACTGTAATAAAACAGTGTAATAAAACATTTAATAATTTCTACCTGTGTTAGCAAGATAGAGCGGGTAACTTAACTGATACCAATTTTAAATAATCTATTACATTAATTTTATGAAAGTAGTCCTATATCGAAAAAGCATTCAAACCATATTGAATCAAAAAGAATCGAAACCGAACACACATGTGTGCGCATGCGTACGATCTGCCGGAGTTAATTTTCAAGTAGTACGACTCAGCAATGGAGATTGCGTAATTTCTTATTTCTCAAATATTTTAATTAATATTTTCCAATATGACTGAACGACGAAATCAGAACTTTACTGACTGACAGGCAAACGTCATTTCATCGTATAAGCTATTCTTCAACTATGTAACATACAAATGAGAATAAGGAAGTCTCAAGACGGGCTTTTGCAAAATAATGAAAGCACAATATGCGACAATGATTAATGTAGGTTTATATGTACCAACGTACGTGAGGCAGGCCTAAAAATCAGACACATTACAATATATCAATGAACTATTAATACATTTTTTATGTTACACGATCGCTACGGGAAACAATAGCTTTTGTGCAGCCTACCGTCGACAAATACCGATACACGATCGTATTTACAATTGCATATACACAAAATACCTACAATTCCTTTTTGTTGTATATTTACATTTAAGATCACGATATAGTTTAAACGCGTTTTATGTTGTCCGTAACTTTGTCGGACTTCATTAATGTTCATTGTTGTGAATTTTAGATCTCATTTCATATTTCATTATATAATTGTGCGAATGTTTCTAAAAAAGAAAAACTAATAAAGGAAAAAAGGAAAACGTTGAACTGCTTAATGTAGAAAATTAAAGGAGGGAAGGAGGGGAGGGGGGGGGGGGNGAACAGTACCGAACTGTTTTCTCTCGTGCGGAACATCGTTTATCCTTAGAGATAATAATTACCGTTTCTCCTCGTAATTGACAGTGACGAGATATGCGTAGACATGCATAACGCGTCTGTTACAACATCGGATCAATATCGACGCATATTCTACGACATTGCGTTAAAATCTAAATAGCGAGTGTCGTGAGCATATGACAATTTCTACGGCAAAAACATTGCATATACAAGATGTGAGCATATATGTGTGTACGCATATTACACGGGAAACCGACGTATCCTTTGCACATAGCGCAACGTCAAATCATCATAATCGTCTCACAAACGTTTACTCTAAAAAAAAAAAAACTCTCCACGATGAGAAGATACACCGCGTTACATCTTCTAAAGTATGTAGGACGTTTCGTAGAAAAAACGTAACCGCGATGGTACCTCGATTTCAAAACACTCTTTTTTTGATATTGTCTTCGATGTGTTTACACTATCTTACAGCTATTGTGTTCTAGTCGAACGCGTTTTTAGAAATCATCATCAGGATCGCGAAATCCGATTTAATATTCCATAAAAATTAGCAATTCCTATTTAACATTTTGCCCTATTGATAAACGATCGAAAAAGTTATACAAACCTGCGAGTCCGGTGTAATGAATGAAACGAGAGTTGAATATATATATACTTCGCCGTCACCTGCGTACTTGTTCTTTTTTTTGGGTTTTCTTTTTCTTTTTTCTTTTCCTTTTATACTTCGTTTTCACCAAGGTGCTCTTGTTGTCTTCATTTGTAACTTCGTCATTGTCGCAAGTAATATATGCGTGGGACGATTCGATACTCGTCGCCGTATCTTCAACCGACAATTTCGATTATCGTACTGTACGACATAATTTTGATAAATCTCTCGTAAAATAGTAATTCGATGGTAACAGTGGACCAGCACCGTTCAACTGCAATACAAAAAAGGAAAGATAGAAAAAGCTCTCGGCGAACGAAAAATTCACAATGTCCGTGTATATGTTTCAATCTCGTTTGCTCAGCATCAACGGTATTAATCATCATAATATCCATACGTAACGTATGGAACGTAATCTGCTACGGCGCGTATTATTAATAATTGTTACGGAAACTGAAATATTCAAGCGTGATTTCGTGGGAACTCATATATCGTATAAACGTATTATCTGTGCGAAAGTAGTTCTTCTTCGTAGTAACGATAAAATGGTACTCTTGCGCAACTTTGCGTAAAGAATCTTGTAAAAAAAAAGAAAAAAATGATTGCCTACGATCGTGTGCCTCTCATGGGGAGGACGCGTTGCGAAACTTGCGATACACAAGGAGGCAAAGAGAGAGAGAGAGAGAGAGAATTCGCACACGGATATTTCATCCGTTATTTCTATTATACTACTTTTATATATATATATATATATATATATATATATATATAAAACATAAATTCATACAACGTTAGGTTACGCAAGTGCGGATGCCGGTAGGGAACTATGCTTGGGTTTGGTCTTGTTTAAAAAAACCTTTATACACCCGTTGAAGTCGGCGCTGACGAGAACATGGCCTCCGCAGCCTTTAGTGCGTTGTTCAACGACAGGGTCAACGGGAACAACGCCCACCGTGGAACTATCGACACTTTTCGACTCTTCCTTACTCTCCCACTGTTCTCTCGCCTCGATCTGCTTGATAATACTATCCGGATTTGGCGCGAACACCGCGCATGTTACCACGGCGTTGTGAGCCTTGATGCCTTCCCAGAAATCGTTCCGATCCCTGCGTACGCTAGAAAACTTGGAATAATCATGATGGGTCTTCCAGATGTAAATGCATTGATTCTCCGAGCCGCTGACTATATACTGCCCGTCCGGGCTGAAACTCGCTTTAATTTGACTACTGACGTTCACGTATCCCTTGTATTTGCAGGACAGATTCAGATCCCTCAGATCGTACAGACGGATACGGCTGTCGTTCGACGTGACTAGAATCTTGTCCTCGCCCGGCATCGGCTCGATACCGCTGATCTTACGCCCGGTGGAATTCTTACCCCGGGTCGATCGTACGTGTATCTGCGTGTGATACTTGAGCTGATCGGTGTTGTAAAATATGCATCTGCCGTCGTAGGAGCCGACTACCGCGAACTTGCCGTTCTGGCAGAAGTTCGCCGCGGTGATCAGCTTCGTCTGGCCGTCCACTTCGTTCCACACGGCGACCTTCTTGTCCGGGATGTTCCACAGGCGCAATTTCCCGTCGAGGGATCCCGAGAGGAAGTACCGGTCGTCACGCGGATGGAATACTATTGCGGTGACGAAGTCTATGTGCTGGAAGCAACAGAGGCATTCCTTGCGGGATATGTGCCAAAGCCTGACGGTCTTGTCCATCGACGACGATAGGACGAAGTAGTTCTTAGACCATGAGACGTCGAGCAGATCGGAGGTGTGGCCGGTGTATGTACAAAATGGCTTTGGCATGAACGGGCTCTTCGTTCCTTCTATCTCGCTGAAGGCACTCGCCACGACGTTGGGATCCTCCATGGACTGTTGCGAGACCAACGACTCCTGTGAAGGCGTCGGGCTGACCTTCTCGGCGTTGTACTTGGTACGCATGTCCTGGAAGTACGTGAAGGCGTCCCGCAGCACCCAGATCCTGAGGACGCGGTCCTGCCCGGCGGTGGCCAACAGCCGACCGCACGCGGAGAACTTCATGCACCAAACCGGGCCGACGTGCTCCCCGCTGAGATCCTGAACGTGCTGCAAGCAACTGAACTCGTACGGGCCCTTGTGACTGTTCGACGCCTTCAGTTTTATGTACTGCTGCTCGCCGGGGTAAACCTCGTCGACTATGTCCATCACGTCCTCCTTGTGTCTCGCGTGCGACACCTCTTGGGCGATCGATTTCGCCTTGTCCATCGTTTTCTTCACGGTGGAGCCCAGGAATCGCTTCAGTTTCTGCGTCCGCTTGCGAACTCTACCCACTGACACGTCCTCGTCCGGCGGTATGCTGGACATCTTACTGTCCACGCTTTCCTCGTCGCTCTCCTTTTCCTTCTCAAGACTAGAGTTGCTTATGTATTCCGACGTGAGCCTCATAATGTGCAGTGACAGAGGATTGATGCACTGCGGCAGCTTGTCCTCCGCTATACTTAATGGCACTCGTTCGCCCGTATCTAAATTCAACACGGTCACTTGTTCCAAGATCTCCTACGGAAATAGATCGAAAGAGTTTTTACGTTCTTTTTTGATATACAATAAGCGCCAAAAGTTCCGGAACGGTCGAAAGCAACTGATTTTCGAAAAGAAAAATATTTCAGACAAAAGTTGTAAAGTTTAAATAATTGTGTTGAAATTAATGACGGTATTATATTTGTTTGACCTTGGTTGGTATCGGCAGGTCAACTTGAATTTTTTTAGTGGAATAGTGTGAAATGGTATGAACTTGCTTGATATATCTATGCAACCAACCATATCAGTAAGACGCTTGCCAGAATCCGTCCTGGTTCTCACAAACATATTCAACTGCTTGACCATATCCTGATCGCCAGCAGACTTGCGCCGCTCTTTGGAACCTTGCGGGCTCATCCCTGAGAACTTATGCGGGCCTAAAGAATAACGGCCAATACTGTTGCTCGATACTGATCCTAGGGGACTACTAGATTTCTCACTCGATCTTACACTAAGCAGTTCAGCTTTCATTCTCTCTACCCTCTCCAATTCCTCGCTAGACGGTCCTTCCGCTCTCGACTTATCCTCATCCTGTAAATATGCAATAGACACCGTAAGGCTGAATATTGTGTGTGAAATGTTTTAACTGCGTTAAAAACCAGAAACCTAAGTCTCGGCCTAGAATAGGTATTTTAAGTCTTAAGAAATTTACCAATCACAGTTAGTTATTCTCCTCATATTCGGCTGTGATCGGTCAATTTTTTAAGAAATGACTAATCACGATTGATTATTCTTCTATAATTCGAATGTAATTGCTCAATTTCTTAAGGCTTAGAGTTTAAAGCACCTATTGTAGACCGGAATTAACAAATCTTAAAGTCACTTTCCCAAACTCACTGGCAGAGCGTTTACCTGTGGCTTAACGACATACTGCCCCTTCGTCGCGGATCGGATATCAAGAGAATGCTCGAACTCTCTGGTAATCGACTCTATGGTGCTCGCTGGACTCGGGAGCGGCGACGCGGGTACGAGCGCTTCCACAGACGGCTGAAAAAAGTCAGTATCGTATTTACGATCATTCAATAAACTCACGCTCGTAAATCGTTTCGGTGTGAACGAAGCGAAGCAAATGAATCTTACAGCGAGATCACTCGGTGTGTGAGCCTTTGTTTTCTTTTTACGACGCGGCGGGGCAACGGGCACACCAGGCATCGCGACGTCTTCCGCTGGTTTCCCGTTATTCTTTGTACTAGCGATGACATCGGGTTCTTGAAGCATAATAGTCTTGTCACTTTGCGAGTGAGATGCATAATTGGACCTACCGTTAACAGAGGATTCCTGAAGGACATCCCCTGATAACGTAAGGATGCTGGAAGACTGGGACACCTTACCAGAGGTTGTGTCCTCGTCTTTGCTTGGAATACTAGCAATGGAGGACATCTGACCCTCACGGGTAAGGGCGGCAGAAGGAGGACACTGGGATATACCAGGTACAAGTACGCCAGATGCATTATCTGCGACTCCTGCCAGAATTCGGCCCACTCGTCCTAGAGAGGTCATACTTTGTAAGCTAAGAGTGTCATGCTCTATGATTCTGAATGGATGGGTCGTTTTTGAAGGGGTGGGATAAACACCCTCGATGGAAGATGTCTGGCTGTCTGGAGGGGAACTGTTAATCGGAATATCGTCGTCTTCCGTTTGCATACGCTGCCGAAGCTCGCGGAATCTTCTCCTACCCACAATCTTGTCCGTCGTCGTCGATTCTCTGCCATCCTCATCCTGAAATATTTCTTCCACTTTACTTGCCTTTTCTAAAAGGTGCTTTACAAATAAATACAAGCATATCATAAAAATATCACAGAATATTAAGAAAAATATTTCAAAGAAAATTTATCTCAATACTGAAGATTATTAAAATATTCTCCATTTCCATAATTTTGTTTACACACACACACACACACACGTGTGTGTCATTTGTACTTACAACTTTATCTTTAGTTTGCACAGGGCCCTTTGGTTCAACAGTTGATTTAGGCTCAGCAGGCTTTACAAAAACATGATCGTCCGCTTGTTTGCAAGTTCCTGACACTTTATCAGCTTGAGATTCATCGCTGGTGGTATCGCGCTGCTTAACTTTTCTACAACCAGACGACAGTGGTAATTACAATTACTCTTCATATATAATTTATTCACACGTCACACATTACTTACAAAATTCACGCAAGATTTCTAAAAAAAAAAAAATACTACTTTTCTCAACGTTAATCGCAAGAGCCGACACAAATCGAAACTTTAAATATTCCGGCCTTGATAATTGTGCGCAGTTGAGCTCGAGAGCGCACGGCTCCAGAAATCCCCTTTCCGTTCCGAACGTCCACGGGAAATCGCGGAGGAGATGATGTCACGAAGAAGGGAACAAAACGAACTTAATGTGTCGCAAGGCCGCTCGCGCGCAATCGTGACTATTCGCCTTCGACTATATCGCGACGGAGCGGTTAGGACGGCGGCGTGACGGATGAAACGACACATTCGCCTACGCGCGTCATCGGGCGATCGACGAGATGCCGAGGACGCGGATTTCCTTCACACGACGCGACAATTACCGCGAGGCACGATGAAACGAGTCGTCCTCCGCGTCGAAGAACTCCTCGGAATCGCTGCTGCCCGACATCGTCGTCCGCCGCAGTGAATGGCCCGCGAGGACACCCTCGTCCTCGCATCGGTGTCGCCGGCGCACGTCACGCGCGTCGCACAGCCACAGACGTCAGGATCGCAGCCGGATGAGAGGGACTGAATCGTGAGTCGGGGAAAATCATCTTTCGACTCGCGGCAGCGCTCACGATGACAGGTTACTGCGAACTGACTTGCACGAACGCCCGCAACGCAAGCGCCCAATGCAAGTGCGCCGTGCGTGCCAGGCAGCTTACGCCAGCTTACACCCGCCGCCCCCGCGTCGCAGGCCAGCGTCCGCAACTGCGCGATTCTTGCATTCTCCGCGTGCACTCAATACAGAGGCTGCGTTCCGATGTTCACCGCCGATACGGGAAATCTATAGTCCGTTCTTTTTGGCCGCGCTGCTGTTTCGCTTAACTGTTCAAATAAGTTAGTCAGAGAGAATTCTTACCCCCGACAGAAAAGCAGCAGCCAATCAGAACTCGCACTGGTAATCGACAGTTCTTAGGTCTGTTCGTTTTTGCTGCACCACTAAACCAGTGCAATAAGTTGAAGAGAGACGAGTATATGTTTCCTCATTTTAACTTATTGCATTAGTTCAGCGGTGCTGCGAAAACGAACAGATCTCTTGCTTCATCTACTATTTTATTTAGGCTCCATGCCAATACTTACTTTCAGTACTGAATATTACTAGTTTATAAGCCCGGTCTACAATAGATGCTTTAAGCTCTAAACCTTAAGAAATTGACCAATCTACAATAGATGCTTTAAGCTTTAAACTTTAAGAAATTGATCGATCACAGTCGAATTTTACAAGAAAAATTAATTATGATTGGTCAGTTTCGTAAATCTTACGCCTTAAATTTTCATTGTAGACCCCGCTTTACGTATATATTCTGTTCCATTGATTCGTTCCGAACTAGATTTAATGGATCAAGCTATATGTTGGCTATTCTGTTCTATCCAACAAAATTATGACATAGGAGCGATATTATTCGATTCATTAACTCGATCCGATTAGGAGAGCGCTCCAGCAAGTATCGGTCCTCAATAGATATTTTAAGCCTTAAGAAATTGACCAATCACAGTCGAATGTGAAGAGAATAATTAACTGTGATTAGTCAATTTCTTAAGGCTTAAGCCTTAAAATACCTATTGTGGAACGACACTTAAGCTCTGAGCCTTAAGAAATTGATCCATCACAGTCGAATTATAGAAGCAAAGCCAATTATGATTGGTCAATTTCTTATATCTTACATAAATCTTATCCTAAATTCTCATTGTAGACCCTTTAAGTCCTGGTCTTTAATAGGTCGTTTAAGCCCCGAGCCTTAAGGAATTGACCAATCACAATCGAATTACAGAAGAATAATCAATCGCGATTGGTCAATTTCTTAAGGCTCAAGACTTAAAACACTAATGTAGACCTAGCCTAAGAAAGCGGCGCTAGTGTTTTTTTCTCGAGAGAGGTTGATAAGTTCGAGCCGTGGCAGCACTGACCAGGCCCCGTCCAATACTGCCGCGGCGTCATGGAAAAGAGTCGCACGATTGGCGAAGGGGAAATTCGCAGCCCCGAACTCGTGCGGATGCCCGCTCTTCAGCATGCCTGCCGCAAAGGAGGCGAGCCGTCACACAAAAGCAAGATGGAGGATCTCACAGTCGAAGTATGCGGCGAAAACGGAGCGTATTATAAGGTTCGTTCTGTGAAAAGTATAGAAAAAAACGGGCGGAGGATTCGGGAGGCGGACAGCCGGAGCCACGGGCCGCGGCACGGTCGTAATAACACGGGACTCGGGCCCGTACTTCGCTAATGCACAGGCCTGAAATGTACGCCTGAGGTAACGCGGCGTTCCTCCGACGCCATGTCTCGTTTGACAGGGCGTGATTTCCCAGCGGATCGCGTCGCCGCGCGTCCTCGCGCGGCGTCCCGCCGATCCCCGGAGGCACGGCCGATCCGCCGCGGATACGACGCGCGAATTTTTAGCTGCGTGGCCCCCGCGCTCTCTCTCCCCTCCCCCCCGAAGGAGTCGCGATTTTACGTGCGACGACTGGCCCGCACGACTCGCTACACTCCTGGCTACTTCGCGACGAGAGCTGCACTACATGTCCCGTGTGTGTTGCGTGTTTCAGGCCTTTGTCACCGATGTCTTTGACGACGAAGTTCTGGTAACTTTCGAGAATGAGTAAGTTCCACCCCGCGAGGCCACCTTCCTCGCGGGAACTTGTACCTTTTTTTCCCTCCTGTATCACTGACACAATGCCCCGTGCCAACAACAGTGCATCGCGTTCTTGTGCTGGCTGTTAGATACCTCCTGTCTCGTGGCATTCCGATACTGCGATTTGTTAGCAGTAGCTATTACCTCGCCGTCGGTTTCTTTAAATTAACATGATAATTGTTCGAGGCTTAATTGTCGTGTTGTGTTTCTTGATGTATCACGGTATACTGTTGTTGAAGCACAAAGCTTGCCTGTATTACATTGTTAAAAACAAAGAATCTCGATGTGCCATTGAAGGTTTTAACAAGGAATATGAAATGGAAGGAACTCGAAATATATGTTGATACTTATATTCCAATAATTGTTTACGTATAGTGACATTTAAAATCTTTAGCTTTATTGTGTTGCAATAATCATCGAGAAAGTTGTTTCTTATTATTAGGGAGGATTTTAAACGATATAAATAATTATTTATGGCGTTTAGAAGAATATGAGTGTGTTTGCGGAATATGAGATACGTAGTTGTGTAAACTAATCAAGCTTGTAACGTGTATTCTAGCTGGCAGCCAGAAAGCAAGTTCCCATTTGCTCAAGTACGTCTACCTCCAAAAGATGGTTCCAAAGCAGAATTTCAGGAGAACCAGGAGATCGAAGTATTCTCTAGATCTAATGAACAGGAAGCGTGGGGCTGGTGGAAAGCACTTATCAAGGTAATTTAGTAATGAACGTTGACAAGCATTGGATACAACATTTGTAAAAAAATACTGAAAACACATATTAGTTAGAAAGTATGCAGGTTATAAAGTTCACGATAAAAATCTTAATCGTCCCCACTTGTGCGACACAGCTCTATCGAAGAAACACTTCAGAATTGTATTCTGTTAAATCCTAATATTTTAATTTCAATTTTATGATTTCTCAGATGAGTAAAGGAGGCTTTCAAGTAGTCGAATATTTGGGATGGGAATACACATATACCGAAATTGTAGCTAGTGAGCGACTGAGATCCAAAAATCCAAATCCCCCCATTGACAAAAACACATTTCACAAGATCGAAATTGAAGTACCTGAAGAGCTCAGAGAATTGTAAGTAATTGAAACGGAGGAACATGTTTGTGCGTTAAGTGTGAAGATATAATTGAAGTATGTTGTGTGTGTGTGTGTGTGTTGCAGTGCGAAAATGGACAATGCACATAAGGAATTTCAAAAAGCGATAGGGGCGGCAGTGTGCCGATATGTGCCTGAACGGGGAGTACTGCTGGCCATCTCCCGTCATGAAAATATACATCGTCACAGTAGCATGCTCCAAGAAATGCATTTTAGAAATTTATCGCAAAAGGTAAATTTATTCTTATTAATATTGAACAGAATCAATCATACGTAGCGAGTTGAAAGAAAAACGAAAATATTTCTTTTCATTATTTGGAGTTCCATATTTTTTGGATTTTTAAAATTGCTTTCAAAATATCCAAGACAATAACTTCGAGGCACAAAATGAGGAATTTATGTGTAATTGTATTTTTTATTTTGCTAATATTTCACAGGTACTGCTGTTGAAGAGAACAGAAGAAGCAGCGCGTCAACTTGAATCTACAAAACTTCAAACAATAGGGGGGTGAGTTATTGACACTTTTTTTAATTTTGTAAATAATAAAAATCTTGTGAGATCGTTTACCTGCCCTTGTCCATATACTGTCCTGGTTACCATCCTGTCTGTGGTTTGCATTTACTGGCAGAAAATCAGATCACAAGATTTCTAATCACACGATTAATTGATATGTCCGCTTTAATATCACGTAACTTCATGAATGTAATTACATAGGCACATCATAAGTAGTGTTTATCATATATCTTGTTTCCTTTTTTCTTTCATGCCACGAATATAATTATAATATTCGACAAATTTTAACACTTCTAAGGTCCGCATATGACTGTGTTTACTACTCGAACTTCTCTTCTGTTATAACAAAACAAGTACAATAATGAATTCTGTGTGCACTATAATTCTTTTATCCTTGCGTTATGGCAGATACCTTCCGCTAAAACAACATTAGATCATAAGCATGATCATATGCATCGCAGACACAATCATTACTAACTATTTTCTTTTTTATTAATACATTTATTTTAAGGAGGGAATGCTATTTTAAGTATGCTAACTATAAATCTTCCATAATAATAACTAACAAGTTTTAATCAAATTATATCAGAGTATTACACCAAGGTATTTATGGAATTATTTCTACAAATATTCTGATCACTCCTTGAATTTATACTGCCTTCGAGCTTTTACCAATAATGCTAGATGCGCCCATAAATAGAAAAAAAAATGATCTAATATATAAGTATATAGAGTACGTATAGGTTAGGTCGCATATTATATTATTTGCATAACTTCGTTTAATATCAACAGGTGTAAACGTCAGGATTATTATGTTAAGATATAACATATCTTAAACATATCTCTCAATAAAGTGTATATATCATCTTATATATATATATATATATATAAAATTGTGTATATATATATATGTGTGTGTATATAAAATTGAAATTTCTAATTATTATACAATATAGGTGTAGATAACTTTAAGGGGTTCGACGAACTTTACATAAACATTTGTGCAAATAAACTTAGAAAACAATAGTCTGTATTCAAGTGTCTGCATGCATTAATCAAGAGCAAACAGACAGAATGGCAGGGACATAGGATAGGGCCATCTTGTAATGAGTTTTCACTGAGTTACACCAGAGTTTCTTTCTCATTTCAGCAAATTTAGATCTTCAAACTTTATATATCAGCGTGTCTCAGACTTTGAGGCAGGAGTGAAAACAAATTCAAGGTGAGATCACAGCAGCGTGGTTTAGAATTAAGTTTAGCTTACTGTATGACCAAAGTACACGATTACATTTTTTCAAGTGGAGAATAAATCTACACTTTAAACGTGCATGCTTCAGCGTTGTGTAGCATATTCACTAAAATCCATGTGCTTCAAGTATACTGATATATATATATATATATATATATACATATATACATATATATATATATATATATATAAGACAATTATTTATATCTTTCTCCATTTATTATGTGCTGTGTAGTAAGATCTTATGTGATTGGTGAGGTAGCCAAACAAACATATACGTGTAGCTGTGATCAGTTTTCGATTTCATTTTCTATTATTTATACATTAGGTAGACTCTTAATCCTATAATTTGTCTTTTTATCAATAAACGCTGGAACTTGGCCTGCCAATGTTTGAGAAACACTGATATATCCTATATATTTTGCACATATTTATGCAAATGGTGGCTCTATCCCATGTGTTCTTACAAAAACGTGTATAAAATACACGTAAATAAATACACATAAGAAGGAAATGCGAGAAAGCACTGATCAAAAATACCTTTTACTTTGAGATGTATGATTTATATTCGTTTTGATCCTAGGTTAATGTTAAAAATATATTACTCTAAAATACTTCATTCATCATATCTCAAATAATTGATCGCTATATTTTTTTTAGGCAGTGTCATATTGTTCCTTCAATTGTTATTGAATTTTATACCATTATAGCTTCTTTTAAGAGAATAAAAAAACTGCCCACTATTTACTTCTACATGTTTACAATATGATGATACGTATATCATATTATTAATGAAATGTAATCTCAGAACTTTTTTGCTATCTCATCTTTCCATAAATTAAATATCGATGTATATCTTTATATAAAAAAAGAAATAAGATACTACAATACACTTGATTTTAATTAATGGATGCATGTGATATACACTTTGTACAATTATATATCTGATATATTTAAATCAAAATTTTGGATATAATCTGAGAAATATCTTAATTCGTCTCCCTCATGTTCCTAATACATATCCATATGTTGCATGGTTATTGTTTCATTTTCAGAAATATCACGTACAACGCAAAACTGTCATTTTAAAAGATATACCTAGCTTTGATAGAAATTCATTTATATCTGCCAAAATGCAAGCCATTGACAAGGATTATTATTATATAAAGATAAATCACATTTTGCTTTTTCACAATATCAATATATTTACAGCATGTTACAACAAATTATGTTCTAAAGTGTAAATGATTATATATATAACCACTAAAAATGGTACAATATATATTTTTTTAGTTATAATTGAGAGATTAATATCTAAGAACTATAGAAAAGAAATGTAAAAAAATTTGTATAAAATACTAAACAATATATTTAAGTGGGGATTTGTTAATGTTTTTTGAAAACTGTCTATCTCAAGAAGAATCCTAAGAAAACGTATATATAAATAAGTTTTATTTTACTTTTTTTTTTTTTATAGATATACTGACGAATTTAACGTTCGAGAAGATCTTATGGGACTAGCTATCGGTGCTCATGGTGCGAACATTCAACAAGCACGAAAGGTTGATGGCATTACAAATATAGAATTAGAAGAAAATTCGTGCACATTTAAGATATACGGAGAGGTAATAATAATAATAATAAAAACTCGTTTATAATGTTTCTCTAATGAGACTGCTTTAGCAAGATTTGCTAACTTATATTCATGTTTAAAAGATACCTATAACATATTGCTAAAAGCACACAAAGAGTTGTTCACCATGTATCTTTCTTAATCACAGACACACGAAGCTGTTAAGAAAGCTCGATCTATGCTGGAATACAGCGAGGAATCTATACAAGTTCCACGGGTTTTGGTAGGGAAAGTAATTGGGAAAAATGGTCGTATTATCCAAGAAATTGTCGACAAAAGTGGTGTAGTAAGTATATTTTTTTATTATCGGTTGACGGTGTGTGTTAAGTCTATATTTTTATAATTACTACTTTCAGAATTAATAACTCAGGTAGGGAGTTCTTGTTCGTTTAACCAACCCTGTCTGAAAAATGACTGAAAACACATAAATTAATTTTCATTTTCAGTTGATACAATATGATTTTATTAGAATTTATTAGACTTAGTACATAGATTACATGTAATGCTTTACAGATCCCCTACGTCTACTGATATATGTTTATCTCTCTCATGGTATGTAACAATTGTCCAAAATTCCTAACACGCGTTCTCAAGTAAATAATGATTATTTGGTGGTCGTATTAAAAAAAAAATCAAAATTGCTGTAGCATTCAATTGAAAATGGAAGTTATAATTTATGAGGGGTTAGTTTATATATGATATACGTGCCTTCTTTGTTCTCGGTAGATAACAACTGGCTCGAGTGGGAATGTACATACTGATAGAGTAAGTATATCATTTTCTATTGTTTGTGATTTTATTCCACATCCAGTTCATTCGGTCAATCATTCGTATGTGTCTGGAAGCACTCGCAAATCTTACATGAACCACTCGGGCCAGTCTTTTTGTGTTGCAACAAGTAACTGCCGTTTCTTTGACATGATCCGGCCTATATTCATACATTTAGCGCTAAATGTGACCGTGTCTCATTCTGAGTGCTATCTATCTAAAAGAAAAAATGTTGCATTCAGCATTATCATAAGCCGATGATTATATACGGACAGGTTTAACGCTAAATTTACATCGTGAATATGGACCTTGATGTACACCATGTGTGCATCATGAGTGATATTTAGTGATGCATAGATCATTCCATGTCCATGCATTTGTTTTTTGTCATCGATTACTTTTTTGTAAAACCAGTCTTATTTCAAAATACGCCTTCTCGATCTGTTTTGCGATTTGTTATATAAACATTTCTTCATAGTTGAGAATATATTACGTAACACTTGCTACTGTTGTGAACAAATGAAAATGTTTCGCGATTAAAATTTCTCGGTACAACGTTATATCTTAAATACGTGTCATGGATAGGATCGCATAAATACGAGTACAATTACATAATTCAATTACACGAATGTAACAATGGATACGATTCTCTTTCGAATGCTTTATAACTTTGGAATTTGATGCGAATTGTTACATTTGTTGTTGCAAAAGTAATTATTTTCAGTAAACGACAAAAGTTAAGAGCATTCCACTCGAAAAATTCTCTAAATTTGTCTGCCCACTCATCTCCAAACGAAAGCTGTAATTATACATACACAGTATAATCGTCACGCGGTCAATATAAATGTATAATTCAAACACGCATTGTCTGGAAATGTTACATGAAAAGGGTAAAGAGAATCGGAAAAAAGAAATTGTTTTCCTGAAAGACCCGTGTATGTATACTCCGTATGATAAAGAACATTTAAGCAAATTTCACAGACTAATCAACAATCGATGGAAATGACAAACGCCGGTGACTGAAAACCGATGGTATGGATATGAAATACGATTAAATATGTCATTCTGGGTAACTCATATTGCTTCGAAGCGCGAATCAAAAGCGCAATTTTAATAACTACGAATTTCAGGTAAGGGTAAAAATAGAGGGAGACAACGAACCACAACCAACGATTCCACGGGAGGAGGGTCAGGTGCCCTTCGTCTTTGTTGGCACTGTTGAAAGTATCGCCAATGCCAAAGTTTTATTGGAATATCATTTGGCGCACTTAAAGGTACAAACTACGCGTCCCATCGATATCGTGTATAACATAAGAAAGCTGTTTATAGCCTGAAATCTCGAACATTATTAGCCCGTCAATACTAGCCAGAGGTGTATATTAGATTAACTTCACGCGACTCTCGTAGATTCTCGATCAAATCACTGACACATCGATCGCCGATTTGGATATCACATACTTCAAAATCCGCATCGTAAACTCATTCACACGCAACATCTCTGCATGTTATCTCTGGAAGCGAAAGCTCTAGTGTCAACTTTCCAATGTACATATTGGATCAATCGGAAAATACGGAGCTAAAATCTAAACAGAATTGAAATCGATTTGGAAGATTGAAGGATTATATCGTGATTTATACTGCAGGAAGTGGAACAACTTCGACAAGAAAAATTGGAAATTGATCAGCAACTACGAAGCATGCATGGGTCAACTACGGGACCGATGCCCAACTTTCCTCCTACAAGAAGGGGAATGGTTGCAGGACCAGAAGAAGGCGTTAGCGGTCGTGGCGGCCGCGGTGGCCAATCACGAGGACGCGGCTCCCGGGGTAGAGCGCCCACCAGACACAACGCCGGTAATATTACTGTTTACATTTATTTCCTATGTAAATTAATTCGGCGCCTTTGATTTTATTCGTTTTTATATAACGAACATTTTAAATCGAAATATTTTTCTGCTCAATTGTGGCTCATAAGAGCTGCCATTTGTGTTTTACCAAACACCACCATCATAGCATCGCGGAATGATCAATAATAATCTCAGAAAATAGTGAACTGTATTGCTATCGATAAAGTGCATATTCGGCACTGCATTCAAATGTAAAAAAACATGTTGCTCAAACCACAAAAATGATTTGTTCGACTCTTCGATGAAAGCGTAGTGAGTCATACGACGTCTAAAAATTAGTTTTACCGATCTGGAGAAGATTTTGAGAAAACCTACTCCACGACGCACTTGACCTCTCGTGGAAAAAGGCTGAAACGATGGCTGAAAGGCTGAAACGATGAAAGACGCTATTTTTAATATGATCCGGGAAGTTGTTTTGTACTTGTCTTATTTTTCAGACTTTACCCCTTCAGTTTTTCACTTGTTTCGGTCGTTGCAACATTATTTCATTGACACATATTTTAAAACAATAGAAGACGTTCGAAAATCTATCGATGACTTAATTCACTCAAAATTGCCGAGTTTCAATTGCGATGGAATTCGATAGCTGCCCGATAGATAGCGATTAGATAGTCATGGGTAATGACGGATATTATTTCGATAATTAAAACTATATACTTTCCATTGATAAATAAATCTTGTTTAGTAAACAAAGGCACCGGGTTAATTTACACGTTTAATACTATGTGTATGCTCGTACATATGAAGTTAAAAGAATAATTATCATATTACAATATTGTCATTTGGTACTGAAATACTGAAACGAAGCTGGCGAATTTTTAAATATAATTTCCACATTTTCTTGCCATTTATACTTTTTATATTAAATTCTATATATAAATATACATAGAAAGTATAAATACACGCATATGTATATATAGGTATATGTTTCGCATACATTGACTGATCTGAAATAACCTGTATATATATTATTAAGTTTTTCACAAGTATGTGTTACGTTAAACATAAAACTAATAATTTTGCTGCTAATTATATCACTATATACTAATTTACACCAATCGTTTGACATATGTACTAACTAGTAATTTCCTGTTAGATTACCTTGATCTCGACAATACGTGTAAACGACAATGTACCAGGCTGATACAATAGTACGTATCAAGAAGACCTATCGTACCAGCTTAATACGATATCAAGTCAATATCAAGATAATCTGATAAAAACTTGCTGGATAATATGTGTATCAAATGATTGGTACAAACTAGACCTATATGTAAAGCTTTGGTGCAACCATATGAAATAGAAAGAATAACATTATCATTTGCCAAAATGCCAAAAAAAGCCAAAAGACGAGAACTTTTAATATAATTTTTACATTTACCGCAAAGGCGTTGCGGAAAGTTGTAACTCGCTGTTTATCTCGTATATATTAACGACTTTTTACTTCTCTAAATGTGATATATTAATTAAGGGACGATATAAAATACAAGTAAGAACTTACTTTGATCGTCGTGTCACTCGTTGAACGTTTGACGATTTATCCTTAGGATTACGTAGAGACACAATGGACAGCAGCGAAGACCGTGTGCGAGACTTGCCGCCGAGAGGCGGTCACCAGGGTGGTGCCGGTAATTCAGGGTACATGAGTGGCAGGCAAGGTCGTCCCACGGCCCAACGTAGAGATCGTAGAGACGAACGCCGTCGCACGACCGACGACGAAGACACTGTTTTGGACAGCCAAGATGTCTCGAGCATTGATAGAGGTAATAGCATCGATCGGTTAACAAGCAGGACGCGCGTCGCGTTGATTGTGCAGTTTTCCGTAAACCGTTTCGTCCTAAAGACACGCGCCGACTCAATGGCGGCGCGCTCTCGAACGCATCGTCACATTAGCATGAACCGTGAGGCAAACTCTTGTGACCATCTAACACCATAATCTATTGTCTCGTCTCGAAATTTCACTCTAATGCATGCCACTAACGTATGCAGTGCGCAGCTTTCGCCAAAAAACCTGTGATTAAATTTCTCCACGACGTCTCTTCAAGTGTTAGACACTTCCGTTACACACGATGGTCGAACACAGATGGTCACAATGGTTTGTGTATGTATAGAGTCGGTATCGAGTGTGGAGGGTGGACCTAAAGGTGGGATAAGACGAAGGCGGCTACGGCGCTCCCGACAACGAAGCACAACGCCGACGAGTGTTCAGACAGGTAACGTCTCACGGCAGCAGCAGCACGATCTTCCATTCTCAGGCGTGATATCTCTTTAGGACGATCGGTTGTTTCTCTCTCTCTCTCTCTCTCTCTCTCGAAGAGCGTAGCTAGTACAGTAGCAGTAACGATAATAATAATAGTAGAATCATATTTATCGGTAGTTCGAACACGCTCGTGTACACGAAAACATTCAGAGTTAATCTATGCATTTGTTTAGGCAGCAATGCCGGACCGTGCGACCAGTCAACAATAAACAGCAAAGAAGGAACACCTGCGAACGACGTCTCTGTGTCTAACAGTTCCCAAGGACCTAAAGGCCAAAGAGAACATCGGTCTCGTCCTCCTCGTATGCAACAGAGCAATAAGCCTAAGGAAGCTCTGGTTAATGGTACCAGTGGCTAAGCGCAACCGTTGCGGCGCCAACGATTGCCACTAAAAACGTTAACCCTGTACGGTTACACCTAATGAGAGCTATTAACACCCAGCACGTAACATGACGCATACCGACGCAAGGACTACACGATTATGGAACGCGACATGATTAGTCTACGCTCGTTGTTAAGACTGTTTGCTACCGATATAAGAATACGACAGTTGTTTAAGAAATCGTCATTCTCCTTAAACACATTTTAAGGACACATATTAATATCCAATGCATGGTTTAGTTTAAATGATGGCAATTACGCCGTCATGTTTGATATATGGATACATTCATTGGGAGAAAAATAGGAGATAGCATTTGGTAAAGAAGGATTCCCTGATTGTGAAACTGTGCCTCATTTTTATACCGAGCTCCTAACTTACGTGACAGTGCATCATCGGATGTGCCGGATGCGCGCAATACACACCGGTCACACCTTGGTACACTCGTTAACGTTTAACGATCCGATATTAGGCTGGATATTCGCGGCTCGTACGTCAATTAATCGCTCTGAGTAGGTTTCATCTAGATATGTCGCTTAGTACTTACAAATAATTCTATATATATATATATATATATGTGTGTGTATGCATGTATGTATGTACGTATATATATATATATATATATATGTATGTATGTATGTATGTATGTATGTATATGTGTGTATATATATATATATATATATGTGTGTGTGTGTCTGTATGTATATATATATGTATATATACATACACATACTTGTAGAAACGCGAATCTCAACCCGAAACGCCGTCGCAGGCCAATTTCTTTCACTCGGTAGCGTTGATTTCACTGATTATTCGACGTACTTCTCTCATAAGTGCTACGTTTGAAATACGTGTTAAAATAAAAATGCTTTGATTATTTCACTGAGACAAACTTTGCCACACTACTGATGATACTTACTGTTGGAAGTAATCCTCTACGAAAACCCAAGAAAAAGAAAAAAAAACTGATAGGAACGCGACATAACTACGATGTAACTCGATGTGTGGTGCGAAGAAAATGGATTTCCGTTGTTAATCAATAACAATGGTAGGCGGCAGCTGTGAGAAATTCTGGTTCAAAGGTGTTCCCAATGATGTTCCTTTCTATTTACTTGAGAAAAAATTGAGTTTTTGATTTACAATTATTAGTAGAGTTATTTAACAACACTAGATTTTTATGTTTCAATGCTGAGTGTTGATTAATAATATCATGATGATTGCAAAAACGACATTCGGATATAAAAAGAACACGATCACAGATGTGCACAAGGAGTCGGTTTTTATTTCCGAATACACACTTCTCACGTAATTTAGTCTTTCCTCTTTTTTCCCCCTTTTTTTCTCTCTTTTCTCTTTTTTTTTTTTTTTATTTACTACAGTCTAAGCATACTATATCAAACTTTAGGATTTGATATCAAGTTCGTTTCTGCATTGTTTCGCATGATTTAAAAAGAAAGTAAACGTATACTTAGTAATACCAATGTATGATGTGCCAGAGAAGGAATGATACATGTTTTATGATATCTAGCTAAAGTGCAGACTTAGCGCATACCTTTATTACTATAATACTACTTAGTCGAAATGTGGATGTCTGAACAAATAAACTAGCTTTACTATACTAAGCTATAAAAATAGATATGATCAATTGTTTTAAATTGATTATCAATGCTATTAAGGAATCAGTTATCAATTTAAAACAGTTGTCTCTTCTTCCGGATATGACAACAACTAATCGGACATGTCTCATGAATTTTGCAAAAACACACGGCGGTTGATGCAATATATTGACACCTACCAAAACAGCTGCCATTTTATCTGAATATTCTTATGGCAGCAAAAAAAAAACTGAGATATCCCCCACCTTGCTTGTTTCAGATACATTTGTATTGATTGCAATTTGTGCATAAATTAAGAATAAAACATTTCTGTACATAGACTGGCCATTGGTATGGTGAACCTTGAATGTCCTCTGAATACGAATATACGCGAAAGACATCCTTCCCCGCGGAATTACCTTCCATACTTCTTCTCCGGAACTCCGTCATATTTCAGAACAGTGGCGAATTCGAAATCTTCCTATGCGGGAAATAGTCGTAGTTGGTTGCGTGTATTTTAAAAACAATAACTTACATACTTTTACGTTTGTCTAGTTACTTAGTTACTTAGTTATTTTGTGCGTTCGGATAAAAAGTATCTTCTATTATGTTATGTCACTACAAGCTCAATAAAATTCAAGCTCTCTCGACTACACAATTTGACGAAGGTGCGAACTTTCTCTAAGATAATCAATTTCTAAGTAATCGATTTCGTGAAAAACTGAAAGCTAGAAATTCGTCGCGCGGACCAGTTGCTGCTTGTGCTCGTGTACAAACTGGAGGTTTCAGGTACGGAAGTAAGACCGCATCGAGAGTCTCCCAACGGCAACAACGATTAATGTAATCTCAGATTTCCGCCGAGACCCTGCTCTTTCCGCCACTGGGCCAGTCTGATGGCGTACCATCCCTGAAATTCAAAGACGCTTTTTAACGCGTTTGTCAACTCGTCGTTATCGTATTATTGCGAAATTCTACTCGGTTCCGTGTCCGATCTTCCTTTCTCACATGTCTGCATGCACATTCTTAGAATGTATCTTCTTAGCTCTCACCTCGACGTCCACCTCGGAAAGACCCGTTTCAGCTGCGAGCAGTACAACGTCTGCGGTATGGGGCGCTCTTGGCCATCTGTTAAACTGCTCTTGAAGAACAGCTTCCTGATCCACTGTCAGGCGAATCACTCGAGTGCCAGCTTCCCGAGTAGGGTATCGCGTTGGATAAGATCTCAGCATGTTTCCTCTATGAAAAGCAAACGCATTGAAAATCAACGAGAGTAATATAATAGAAAGTTAGTTAAGTTTATTTTCTTTTAATGATGGTAGTCTTTGAACACATATAGAGAGAGAGAGAGAGAAAATGTGATAATGTCGGGAGTACACTGTAATGAATAATATTACTCGTACAACGTGTGTGTCTAAGAGACGTCGTTTAGATGCTTGATGACGTCTTAGTGTTCTCTGGACAAGCGTTCAAAATATGTTCGATTGTATATATAAACATTGTTTGTAAACATTGTATTGTAAACATTGTATATATAATTAAATGTGAAAACATCGAAATGTTCTCCGTTGATAGAAAAACGGATCTGGGAATCGGTTCGTTTGACAGTACTATGAAACGACACCGTCTATAAAATTCTCTTGTTCAGTTTTGAATGATATTGAACGAAAGAAACGGCGATAATAATAATAGTAGTAATTATAGCGAAAAAAGAGCAGTGATTCATCGCAATGTGCCGGAGAACATGAGTCTCCTATATTCCCATTTGGAGCGATAAACGCGCTGTCTCGTCATAAGACAAGTGTTTGCGGCCAAATCGGCTCGCTCTTACATAATCAGTTCTTGTTACGGTAAAACCGCGTTTCTATGACGGCGCATAATCGAGATGAGCGTGAAAAATAACTGCGCAACGACACTTATGTATAGGCAGTGTTTGCCTTAGATGATTTCTAGACGAAGATGGGATGAACATTCGATAAATTTATCTTAGATGAAATGAAAATACGTACAGGCAACCATTTCAAGAATAGGAACCAGAGCGGTATTCATAGGTACCATTGATTCATAGCGCATTTAAATTTTATCGTTTGATCAATATCATCTCAAAAACATAGGAGTGGCAGAAAAACGTTAGCGCAACGTTATTTGCAACGTTATGACACTTCCATCTCAACATTATCGAAATCTCCAAATAAGGGTCAAAGTTTCATTATATGACGTTTTATAAAATATTAAATACGATATAATTGAAAACGTTACATGTTATCAAATATCGTTATGATAACATCGTGGCAATGAATTTTTGCTTACTGGGTACAACTGAGTTTGCGTGTGGTCCTCCCTGGCAACGGAAAATTCAGTCGGATTAACAAAATTAATTCTTCCGGTTTGTGTTGTCATTGTATGCATTGCGCCTGACGGCAAGTTAATTCTAGTAAGAAAACGAATTTAATTATCTGTTGTTGATTGTCATAGATCGGAGGTACGTTTAGTTTCGCGACAAAAATACAAATGCTTTCTAGCGGCAGCCACGCGATCGTGGGTAGGTAAGCCAACGGTAAAAATAACATGACATTGACCCAACATCAGGGTCCGCGGGATTTTGAATATGTTTCAAGAGCGTGACGACACACTTGCGAAATAGACCAAAATTCTGACGAAATCTACGATATATAGTCTGCACCACGTGCATGGGTATTGGTGGAAGGGCGTAGAAGAAGAAAGACGAACGAAAACGAAAACGCGAAGACGAGATTTTTTTTTAGTGAAATGAAGGAATTAATCTTATCAGCGCGTAATATTATTTAATATTAAGCAATATTTCTGGAATATTAATATTTAAAATAATATTAATAATGTTTAAAATATAATATTATTTAATGTTATTGCAATATCATATATTTTTTAAATATTTAACTCTATGTATATATATAATATACATAATTGTAATTTTTTATTTCAAATGTATTGCAATACCAATTGTTTTATTATATAAATAGAGTCGAAATAATTTTATATAAAAATACGTTTTATACCAAAAAAATTATATATATATATTTTTTTCATTTATATGTATTTTTCTACATGATTATTATTTTATTTTTTTTTAATATTCCAAGAACATTTTAATAATATGCCAAGAATATTATGTGAAATGGACATACAACATCAATAGAACATTCTTATAATATTAAAAAAAATACTATGTAACATTCTTAGAATATTATAAAAATATTTTAATATTTTATATTCATATAATATTTATGTAATATTCTAGGAATATTACACGTTTATAGAGAATCAATACTAGTAACTTTGCATGATCGCTATTTAATCTTACTTTACATTCTCATCAAATGAATATTATTTAATATAATTTCAATCTTTTTTAATAATTATTCTTTACGAACTTTGCATATCTTATTCCATCGAAAAAAGGCAATGAAACAGTGTATTTTAAATTAATATCTTCGTTTACTAGAAACATTGTCATAATAAAACACTCGATGTGCTTATTCCGATTCTTAAATTTTTCGTTGATTTCCCTTTATTTTTTTCAAAAAATTGTGAGATAGAACAAACTATAGATTTGTAATACTGGGCAGTGAATATTGTCTGAACGCACTTTAGCGTTTACCGTGTCTGAAAGATACGGTATCGCAGAAACTCCCTATTATGTCCGTGGCTGCACCACCATGGTGGGGATATATGAGCGTTCCAGCATGGTTTTAGTTCAACACATAGAACTCTAGGCGCATCGATACTTTTAGAACCTGGCAACCCTGAAGCCCGTAACCTTTCCGAGATATGGTGGCAAGACTCACTCGTGTATGTTATGGCTGAATATACCTGACAGCAATCTGACATTTTTATAGAAGTCTGCGGGTTTGAGTCTTCCATGGTATCTTCCGCAGTAACACATCGGTGGTGGTGGTGATGATGGTGTGAGGAACCTTATTATTTCCGCTATGGTTCCGAGTTCCACAAGTTGCTTCTACATGGATATCACAAATGAAGCATCAGTTATCGCCAGTTGAGCAAGACCAATCGGCACAAAGGGGTTTACATTTCTCGGACCGAGGATGCCTGATGATTACAATAATTTCTTCAACCCGAACATTTGTCACGTTTGCAAAACGACGGATAACGGCAGTTTCGTGATGTGCGATCAGTGCTACATGGTCTCTTACTGCGGCGGTGATCACAGAGAGGTGCACCGCTCCTCTCACACGGAGATCTGTGCGGCTATCAAAAAGCTTCTGAAGAAGGAGTCGCAATGGGACGCTTGCCCTTTGAACCTGCAGGATTGGATCCAGTTGAGGGAGGAATTTCTACGTTCGGTCAAGACGGAGCTGTCGCGCGAACTGATGTCGCACGAAGTACAGATGATCAGGTTCGCGAAATCATGTCTCATTTGTCATCAGCAGACGAATCTCTACACCTGCATGATCTGCCATTCCGCCAACTATTGCGTCGATCACGCCGAAATCTTCAACAGCTATCACAGTTACTCTTGCAAGGAGCTCTTGTTGTGTCTCAGTCTAGATATCGATCTTTTCCACGGTATGGGGTCGATGATGAAATTCACCAAGTTCCCCAATGAAGGTAGACCTTGTATTAACATGGACACGTTTGTCAAACACTACGTGCAAAGAACGCACACCAGTAGGGAGCTCGACGACTGGCACTTTCCTGAGTACTTCTACTCTGATTACGCATCGGGTCCTCTGACATTGTATTATGGAATGGAGGATACGAATTTGATAGATTCTCTAAACATACCGGAAGATGCTTGCTACGTCATTCATATAATAGATGCAAAGTTTGTTGATAGGAAGTATGTGCTGTCCTGGGAGATTTTCCTGCATCTTTTACGATACAAGATAAACGGATTGAAGATTGTACTCATAGGATCTGAATTACAGAATGAATGTAACAACATGAAATTCTGTAGCAGATGCAATCACATGTACAGTCAAAAGCTCAGCTTCGAATCTTACCATACGTCGTATCACAGTTATGTGGCCAGCGAATCGTACAAGCAACCAAATGTGATTGTAGGATTTGAAGCAGATCTTAGCAATGGGGAGGCGTGGTCAGAGTCGATTTTAAAATTACGAGAGCAGAACTGTCCCCTGCTCTTAACTACCAAATCGAAACTTAAAGCCGAACGGAACATAAACGGAATACAAGAAGTTCTAGGTACATCTCTGATCCCTTTGTACAATGACAACAATAAATTTGGCTCGCGCAGACCGTGGAGAGACGTCGAGACTAATTATGTATATTTTCGTAATAGTCATTTAATCATATACCGAAGTTTATATAATTGATGGACGCCATTCTGTACTATGTACACATTGAAGCTCTCGTATATGATGTAATATCATATTTGATAACGTTACGTTATATGTTATTGTAAATGTACAAAATATGTATAACATACATATTTATGCACATGTACAAAATATATTGTTTCTTTGAACGAATAACTATGTTTTAATAAAGAATACATTTAATTGCAGTTCTTCGTGATATTTGTCATTAGTAATAATACAAAAGTAAACAAACCGATCCGATGAGAAACATCCATAATAGTGAGAGAAAATTACGATGAAACAGTTTAAAAGTATACTTTCTAACTCAATGGATTTTCGAAAAAAACAATTTAAATTATCCTGGACTACGTACAATATATTTATTAATATAATTTGCATGTACTATTTGGATGTATATACAACATCTGCAGAGGTTTGTGAAAAAAAGATACATGGTAAAAATATTCCAATGTTAAGTCAATCAAACTATACATACATATATACAACTATACATATATAAATATATATGACCAATGCATTATTGGTCGTATATTTATTGTTTTGATTTACTTAACATTTCATCAGAGATAAAATTATTCTTATTATGACAGAATTACTTTTATTTTGCTAGGGATAAAATTACTCTTATTACACAGTCAGATCAACTAGTTAATGGTAGGAACAACATCTACATCATACGTATAATTAAGCTCCAATTTCGTCAGACTCTTTTATCATCAACTCAATTTTGTTATTCAAATCCCCACATCGGATTGTCAATTTAACTCGACTTATGGGACTTATGCGACAAAATTTGTGTAACTTTGAAACTTACCCGAGAAAAAAGATCATATATGACCATATATAATCATATATGTCCACAACGAAAAAATACTGTGTTTACAAATTATATGCAAGTACAATCGAAGTAAGTGTTTCTGGCTATTTGTGCTTCTGACAGCACATGATATCGACATTTAATTAAATGACATAATATCATTTTTTTCGTATAAACACATATGAACATATATGTAACCACATATATGGGTAAAATTCATATATGATTTTATATAATTATATATAATCATATATAATCATATATAATTATTTTTTCCCAGGTAATTTTTTCTTACTTTATCGCTGCAGTATATTTATACGATTTTATTTTCATCCTTAAGTCAAGCGGAAAACATATCTCTCCGACAAATTTCATAATAATATTTTATTGTTCGAAATATAACGGATTCTCTTCGATGTCCGTACACATTTGTCGCTGCTTGTACGGAGTGCAATACATCTGCAGATCACTTTCATAAAATTCCAGAAAATTTATAAGATTGCCCTCGAGCTCTCGATGATAAATCGAGCCTGCATATCTGGACTCGATGTGACGTCGATCCTGTTCCGGTATCTACGCAGAGAGATCGAGCCTTTTCACTCGCGGTAATGATCTAATATGTGTGGGAACTGTGCGCGGGATATTAGATAATGAAAGTTTATAGGGGCCACTTACCTCTTGCCACTTAGATTTGACTAAAGCGCGCATGCAATCGTCCACCAAAGAATCGCTGCAATCGTACTGCAGCGAAAAAGTGTAACGGTGACTTTCACCAAATTCTGATTAAGCTAATTGACAATTAATTCAACCGGCGAAGTTACCAACGTAGATAAAGTTTAAAAACTTTTACTTTGTACATTTACGATGTACATTGCTGTTTTATTATATTATATGGAAAACGATCAAAGTGCAAGAAAACCAAACGAAGAAAAATCACAATAAAAATAGGCGTAAAAAATGGGCATAATTATGGATTGTGTAAGTATTGATATGGAGTATCCGAATGAATATCTTACCATGCGCGATAGCAAAGCGGCCCGATTTTCGACGCGTAGACATTCGAATCGGTCGTGGTAAATCGCCGTGGCCCACGGCTCGCGAAAATATGCGTAAAAATCCGAAATAGACGAGCTCTGATCGCGTGAGAATAAATCGTGAATTAGAAATTCGTTACGTATGAGTGACAAATGCGATAACGTTTCCTTTCGTATCGTTTCAACAATTAAAGTGCTTACTTTAAAACGGAACTTCAATTCGTTCAACATACTCTCGTGCTTTCCGTACAAAGCGATCATATCTTGCACTTCAAATGTCTGGAAAATAATTATCGATTAGAAACAAAGTCGTGTCGAAATAGCAAGTATTGCGATAAAACGCGAAAAACTAAATATACACAATAAAAAATGAATCGTCAGTTTTTACGTTTTCCGTACGTCCAAGGGAGTCCACTTTAAATTTTCTATTAAAATAACATTACATGCCTCGTTTATATTAAAATAACAATTACAGGCCTCGTTTTGCACGGAAAGTATCGGCCGACTGGTTTCTCACTTTGTGTGAATATAGAAGTAAATATAGAGATAAATGCCGAAGATAAATATTTTTTCGATAAAAACAGCAGTTAAAAATTAATCTTAAAGGTAATTATCTGAACTCGAAAATAATGTAGATTCGATACTTGATTAAACTCGAATTATTCAATCTAACATCCGTTTTACATGTATATATTACTTTTGTTAATGACTTTTTTGTAAATAATGACGGCTGATTACAAGTTTTCGAGGGTTACTTAGAGACATAACTTTGTCAACGAATGCAAAGATCATCGAAAGTGTGTCCTTTTCTTGTGTAAATATAATTATATTCGTTCTTTTAATAAATTTTTAACAAGGGACTATTTTATAACAAATAAATTAACAAAGTGGCTACCTTTTTGCTGAAACATGTTATGATATCTACTGAGTCATAGGAATTCAATCGAATGTGAAAATATCCAATTTGGGATGTGCAAGAACCGGTCACAAACGCTTCACCCTGTATATCAAGAAACGACGGAAGATTTTATGCTGGTGATACTGAATTTTTTAATATATTTTGATATTTGTCGTTCATGTTGCAAACGAGTATATATAAAAGAGTATTCCTGTGCGAATTGACTGAGAAAATCAATAATTTAAGATAGTTGGTTCATAAATCTTTCCTTAGGAATTTCTTTTCAAATTTTAACAACGTATTAATCGAAACATGATCTACACACACGCACACGTAAAATTAGAAAAAAAATTGACCATACCGAAGCTAAGATAATTGAAATAGAAATTAGTAGTTCTATTCACATGTTGTATTAACTATTATCTTTCTAATGGTATAGTCACAGACCAATTATTTTAAGGCTCTATTGATGTCCAATCAAAAGTAAATAAAGAAAAGGTCAATAAGGGCCTACATGAGTATAATTGTGCAATATAGGAACAAAAGATTCAATTATACAAATTATTCGAAATATATAATTTCAGCAGGTTCTTGTTGGCCTTCCGTTTAATAATTTTTAATTCGATCGATCGTTTAAACTCACGGTAGGCTTAATCGCTGTCCCGTATGAAGTTTCCCTTCCGGATTTGTGTACGTGCAAATAATGATAATCTCCCGGCAGAATGCAGGCGACTACGACGGGTGCGCGAAATACCGGAGGTGTTAAACACGTTTTTTCTTTCACCGACAGCGCAGAGATTTCCTCGTCGCTTTGTTGAATGCCGATCACTCTCCGTAATATTTCGGCGAGCTATCGGTGAACAGCAGACCGGAAAGAAACACAAGTCTTTCGAGCAAGAACAGTTGTGAGGATTTTAATCCCTTGCGGTCCTAATTGGATTTTTCCCTTTTCAACCTCAATTTCATTCAAGTATTCATTTACTACGCGGTAATATCGTGTGTGGTTTGCATTTGTTTCCAATATTTCAATATTTAACTAATGCAACATATATTTACAGTAATATATTGATGTTAAGCATATTATGAATTATTAAAAGCCAATAATGGTGAATGATGAATTAACGATTTAATTATTGATGATTAATTATCAATCCTTTGGCACATTTTTTTGCTGCTTTATTTGACACACTGGGAAATCTATTAAGTTTTCTGATATGCCCTTATTTAAATATTTATAAATATATTTGTCTACACACATACACACACAAAGAGAGAGAGAGAGAGAAAAAGAGGGAGAAAGAAAGAGAGAGAGAGAGAGAGAGAGAGAATTTACAGATATTATAGTTTGTAATGTATAATTTTACGAATTTGCAAAGATAAATTTGAAAAAAAAATTTTACAATTGTTATTTTCGAAACAGATAATTTAAAATATAACAAAAGACAATAGATTCATTCTGCATAAGAAGTAAAAAATTGTGCATGTTTTAAAATAACAATTCTATATTTATATATGTAATAATTTAAGATTAAATCACTATGGGATCTCGATTTTTTGCTTGAAGGTCAATTTGAGCTATGAATATTAAATTAGATTTAATAATGATGATAAAGTATTAATGATTATGATATAATGAGAGATTAAAAAGCAGATTCACAGAATCGGCCAAAATAAGACGCAAGGTCGAGGCAAGGATTCGACGTGAAACCGCAGAGGATTAAAACCGCGTTTTTAAAGCACAAGTTTGGTTTCACCGACTCTCTCGCCGACTTCCGCGCTACTGAGATACATGTGCTGCGAGGACTCGGCGTGAAATTTCCTCGAGTATTTCGTCAAAGTACCAGCGGCGAAAATAAACGGATCGTTCGTACGACACTCCGGGTCTATAATCAGCGAGCCGTCGAAAATGAGACCGGCACGGCAGAAGGCTGAAAAATGTGAGCTCCGTATGAGACGCAGAAAGGATATTTTTGCGAATGGAATCACGAGCGACAGCAAGTGCGCGAGTCGCGTGCTCACCTAAGAACGCGTCTAAGTTGACGGTCTTCTCGTGAAAGTTCAGAAGGACGTCGCAGACTAACGTTTTCGTCTCGCCTTCCTTTTCGATCACAACACTTTCGATCATAGTCTGTCCGTCCGCGTCTTGCGTCAAAATCCAATTGACCAGACACCATCCGGACAGTACTCGGACTCCGCTCCGCAACACGGCATTGGTCACCGCTTCGTCCACCTTACAAGCGCGTATTGTCTCTTTAAATCGTCTACAATAGCCGTAAGTCCTACAATAGGTCGTTTAGGTATTCACGATGTTTGTATCGTACCTCGCGGTCGCAGCAGAAAACATCGTCGCGCGTCTCGTCGGGGTTCAAGCTCGGCTCGATCAACGTGATCCACGAGAAATTCACACCGAACTCAAGCAAACCACGAAAGGCACAGTAGCAGTCAATATTGTGACCATAAAACAATATCGCTCCTGTGATTTGAATTGCACCGTAAATAAAAAGCATCATCAAGTATCAATCTGTTAACGGTATATCATTACTCACGCTATACCTACGTTCCTTTTTAAAGTCCTCCGTTAACCACCGAATCTTTCTTAAGCAAATAAACGCTTCTGTATCGTCGTTTATGGTCAGGCAATTCCATGGTAATTCCGTCAGACTTTCCGCAGTTACTTCTTCCCTTCGAGAATAATTACGATATACAGCATGTTTTGTGAAAAAAAGCAGAGTCGCTTCTGTTGCTTTTCTCGTTCAAACGTTATTGTGCTATTCCTTTATATCATAAAGCGATATCTTATCTCGCTATGATATCTATGATCTTTACACTGAGAAAAGACTGACAATGCTTACTAATTGCATTTAGTTAGAGATTTCGACAGAATATTTGATAACTGTTATGAAATTTGGTATTAATTACCAAGTATTTAGTTAGCCTGTAATATGAACGACTTTTATTCCGAGTTGAATCAACTAAACAAAACGTAACCACTGCCGAACGTTTGGCCCGCAATCTTTCACCAAATTATTCAATAACAGTTATCAAATTTTGTTATATATTACCAAATCTTTCTTTCAGTATATTCTTTTTATACCACCATAGTTTCGATGATACAATAATTTCTATAACACGCGATATCTTTTCAGTTTTACCCTCGCTCCCGCGCTTTCGTGTCCTCTCGCAATGTCGGCCGTTGGTATTGCAGGCCACAAGTTAAAACCAAATAATCGTATGCGAGGTTTCCTTGATTCTTCACGGTCACGTATTTCTCTTTCCTGACGCGAGAAAACTCGATTACACGCATTGGAGAAAATCTCAGTTCGTTTGATAATTGAATTGAGACCAGACGAAAACTTAGTAATGAAAAACAGTATCTTTCTTATCATGACTGAAAACATTGGTCCAAATATTATATTAAATCAAAACTCGGTTGAGATAATTAGAGCAATTGACTGAGTAGAAACTTTCCACAGGAATTTTTCTGTTTCTGCAACCGAGTTCTCGTACAGTCTCCAAGCGACGGAATTGGATTAACCCTTTGAGTACTGAATTATTTTAAGATTTTTATGCCCATGGAACGGATTTAATTTGTCGCTATATGGATTAATATGTAAAAGTAATACATTTTATGCCCAAGTAAGCAGATGACGAGTCTCACTCGTCAAATGTACCGAAAGGGTTAACGATGATACAATAATGGAGTTGTATTTTTCCGTATGTATTTCGAGTCAATTCTCAGTAGTTACTCGCGAAGGAAATAAAAATATTCATTCACAGATATAGGTATTGTTCACTGAAGATCGCTACCTGTTGATCGTTGTCATAGTCCCGTAAACGATATTGATCCAAGCCCTCACGGCTACGCAATGACGGTATTCTGGGCAGAATTTACCACGGAACGGAAGCAGCGACGTTCCTGTGCATTTGTTATCATATGGCAGTCCGTGAGGCGATATCAACGTGAGATTCGTATAACGGTACGTCGATCTACAGTCAATTTCACATTCGTGTCAGCCTTATCAACGACTGAGAGAGAAAGAGAAAGAGAAAAGACAGAAATTTTCACGGTCTCGGCCGTGTATCGCGTTTATAGCGATATCGTTCGTTTGAATTTATTTGCAAAGTAACGGAAGACTTTTTTGTTTATCTCAATCCGTTCGATACCTTCACGAAATTTGTCGCTGTTGGTCTGAGACATCCTGTATGTATACTTGCAAAATTGTACAATTATTTCTAAATTATAATTTAGAAATATTGCAATATGAAATATATATTATACATTTAGTACGTCAAAGCTTTAAAAAGGAAACAAGCGGTTTCAAAATATATGGGTACGTAAAAAAAATAAATAAATACAGTACAAAGTTTATTTACATATTTTCGCGCTATTCACATGAAACTCTCCTTTTTATTTTAATTAGTGAACATTTAACCAATTTAATAATTTAAATTGACATATTTTGTCCGCAAATGTTGCAAATATAAAATCTCATTACTGCGTTATATTATAAAAAATATTGTAGGTTGTGATTTTGCTCTTAAACGATGAAATAATTATATTCCAAAATATGATATCCCCCAAAAATATCCCCAATTGGATTTATCTGTGGCGAATCATTTTAGCGCGCAATCACTGCAAAATTTTTCGTCAATTCATGATACTATTATTGTAAAACATTTTCACAATTCGCCTATCGGGAAGATTATAGTTGATGAATTTACCGTAAAACGAGATACTCCGCGAAAGCGATACCGCAATCCGATGCCCCGACGACGATGATTCTCAGGTCGATATTCGCAGAAGGCATCATCGCCAATCGCGGTGACATCATGAACAGAGAAAACATATCGTCGTCTTTTGCGTCATTCTCGCGATTTTCTTCGATCTTTCCTGAAATATCTGGGAATCTGTATCCAGCTTGTTTACGAGGATTAACAGGAATCATGTCGTCCAGACAAGATGCCAAGGGTCGTTTCCGTGTCTGCGAATGATGCGCCGTATTAAAGGGTGCAAAATTCAACGCCTTCCCGTTCAAGGCAGAAAACGCTTCTCACGCGGATCGCGCGACTTTACCATCGTGCAACTTACCAATGCGCTCTCATCTTCGTGATGAAGTCGATAGAAAATTACCGTTAATCCACTCAAACGCGCGATCTCGCAGAAAAAGAAGCGACGATAAACGAAGAAAATAGGCGTAAGAACGAAGTGCAAGAGGCGTCCGTAATCATCTTGATGAATGCTTTGCATAGATACGTAATCTTCCACATGGTAACGGCTTTTAACGAAGTCCACTTGTTTTTCTGCACTATGGGTGTGTATGTGGTGTGTGATGAGACAAAGTGATGAGTACTGTTGCCGACTTTCCAGCGAAATTTCATTTTCACTGACCGAGATATGTCCGTATGCACAGGATGTCTCGAAACTATCGTGCAATACTTTCATCGTGTATTCTGGAGCATAATCAGAACCGAACATCCTAAATATAAAAATATGGAGGCATCTGCATTTCTCATGTTATACGTTAATGATGAAGCGATCTTTTAGCGAACTAAATTTTAAGAATGTACTATTTGGCTTCAAATTGGAGCAGTGTTTCCTATGGATTTGCCTCTAACATTCTGTGTATTTCACGTGAGGGAGGAGAGGGCAATCTGGTATTCTAAAATTTCTGGGAGTCGAATGACAAACATATCTGTATGCTACTACAATAAAAGTTATAATTGTAAATAGTTATGCAATAAAAGTTATACTATTGTACAATAATAGTTGACATTGAAAGTAGCTATAATTTTCTACCAATACACAAAGTAAAGTTTTCCAAATGTTTTACAAGTGTGTTTAGTCGATCGCAAGTATCATTTTATGGAAATATTCTTCTGTAAGATATACTTTTTCTCGCTGTTAACGTGAACATTAAGCCAAGATGGCTGCAACGAAGAAACGGGAACGTTAAAGTATTGCATGATAGTTTCGAAGCAGTATGTGAGTTTATAGTAACCGCAATATGGCGAGTCCGAGCATCGCGTCGTTGCATTCGAAGATAAGGCAGTCCAGCTCGAATTGCAGGGGATCCGTCGCGAGGTCAAAGTCAGCCAGGGTCTCGTGTTTCGTTGGCGTAGCGGCCAAAAGTCGTCGTACGGTATCTCGATCTCGCACTTCGGCGCGACGACACTCGATCTTCCCGAGGAGAACCGCTCGGTGCAGGACGTACAGTATCATCGGGAAATCCCTGTCGCATCTTAACGGCACGTACTGAACGCGCGACATTCATTTTAAGAGTGACATGAGTACCGGATCTCTCCTTTACTCGCTTTGTCTCGCCGCTTCGCGGCATCGATCGAAGCGACAACCCTGACAAGTACCACGAAATGTTGAAGAAACTGGTAGGGTGGTCGGGTAGGAGGAAGAAGGATCACGCAGTAATCGAGATCCGGGAAGCAGTCGAAAGCGGCCTCGAGTAAGTCGAACGACCAATGAAGTCTCATTCCTCGGCGCATAGCGAGGATCTCCAGGACGAAGGCGTTTTTCTCACCGTGACACGCCGGATGCGGAAGGAGGTCGTGGTGGAGTCCCATCGTCTTGTTGCCCTCGACGGCGGGTGGGGCGTTTCTCTTTCCTTGCGGGAGAGCGTGTCTCGCGTTACGTAAAACGTCGTGTCGTGTCGCGACAACCCCCTCATTACGCGTGATCCCTCACTTCGACCCACGCACTCTTCTCACGAGTGATTTGATTAAAAGGAAATTACATGAGAAAAAGTAGCGGGAAGAATCTACGGTGACTCACGGGGTAACTCGTGTATCGGCTCGGTGAGAACGTTCGTTCTTCGCATCTTCCACTGGAATTGTACGTCGCTCGAAGTCGACGGTGAATTACCAGCGGATCTGGAATCCTCCGGCGATGATACACTCGGTTTCACAATTTGGTCCGAGTGGTTACGAAGCTCTCCCGATTCGGAAGATCGCGTCGTAATTCCCGCGTCGACCGATTTCGCGAAGTCAGAGGTGTCCGTTCGTATGTCGCGCAATGTCTGCCTCGGGGATAACGTTGCTGTTAATTTAATTTTTGGTAACATTAAGAAAATGTTCTGCGTGAAATTTCACGCAGAACATGTGAAAAATGCCAGTATTTTCACTCAAAGCGATAATAAAAATACTGACAGTGGAACACATCAGATTCGCTCTTCAATTTCGGGCGGAAATATTCGCTCGACGATGAGAATGGAGAATTTATTCTATACGAGATGAAAAATCCCTCGAATCCGAGTGACTCGACTGTCATTCCACTTTTTGATCAAAATTTTAGTCCGAAAATTTCGAGAGAGAGAGAGAGATAAAGAGGTTGTGTATATGTGTGGGGGTGTGTGTGTGTGTGACGGTATTTAATTTTAAATAAAATTACTTAATTTCTAAGCGACGTTTAATAATAATGTTACTTAATTTTTCAAAATTTTAATAGAGAAGACCGAAAAGAAGACAATGCATGCGTAACGATATTTAATTTTTAATAAGGTTACTTAATTTTTATTAACGTTAATAGTAATGTAATTTTCAATAACTTTAATGATAACATAACATAACATTGCTGCAAAAGTTAACTTTAAAATTCAGTAACGTTACTAAAAATTAAGTTAATGACGTTACTGTTACACCAAGATACCGATCCAAGAACATCGCTATCATTTGAAGAAATCGATAACATAAGAAGATGCTATTTGCGAATCATAATATATATCTAAATCGTTGCCATTGTCGACCTTTATCCTGTTCGGTTATCGCGATATCCCAAAATAATATCTACGGGACGCTCCTCAGATAAAGTGTGCTGTGCAGGCAGATTCTGTACGACACACTTCATTAGCTACGGAACACCTGAAGATGAATTTAAGACGGCCTTAAATACAAAATCCGTCTAAATATCCGTTGTTAAACATAAAATCTACGAAGGCCAGCCTATAAATATCAGCCTATGATGATTATAATTGCAAATACCAGATATTTTTCTCTCAGTGGGGATCGCTCGCGCGACATTTGAGAAAATACGGCTTGCGGAAGTTCGTTGGACTCGGCAACGTAGGTCGGTTCTTCGTCATCCTCGCGAGCTTTCCGGAAACCGTGGTACGCCGTTAACTCGAAGTTCTCATTCAGCAGATCGATATCGATCGTGGAGCTGAGGCACATCACGCCCGCTGCCGAGCCGTCGACGTCCTCGCCGATAATCAGCTGCCGACAGCCGTCCGGGTAACGAATCATCTCGCTGATGTAGTACTCCCCGTAGAGTTCTTTCAGCCGCGTCGTCTCGCCGTCGATAATCGGCACCACATCGTCGTTATCCTCTTCTCTGCATCCGTTATTATCTCCAATAAAAGCGTTGTACAAAATCCACGCAGGTTTTGTGCAAAAAAAAATCAGTTCCTCCGGCCGAACGGGTACCGGATGAAAACTCAGTGACAAGAGATGAAGAGTCAATAGGAAGAAAATGTTTCTATCACCACGACTGAGAACATTTGGTTTCCAGCAGTTCTGTATGTAAATATTTTTTAATGTTAAATATAATTTTACCGTTAACACACAGTAAAAATAGCTCAGAAAAGGATTTCGCATTCAATTAATTCCTGTAGATATCCGTAGCAACAAGTAAAATTTCATCGGCTTCTCACAAGTTCAAGCCTTCCCGCTTCCCTCAAAACCCGTAGAGACAGCTGAGAGCTGTTTTATTAATTAACCGAAACTTCCTATAGGAATCTTTCTGTTCCCGCGAAACCGAGCTTTGGTCTGGTCCCAACGGAAAGTTCAGTCACACTGAGGGAATCATTTCTTCCGTGTGCGAGAAGTAAAGGTTGAAGGACTGCCGAATCGACTGGCGATTAAGGCTCGAGGCGGAAATTCGATCTGATTCTCACACAATTTTCCGTATCTTTAACTTTGGAAGGAGCCGACTGCGGTCGCTCAGGTACAAATATTGCGCCTCCTTGGCATGTCGGGCGCACTTAGCCGGGATCTTGGTCATCTCTCGTTTGAACACGTCCGCTGGAAAATTATACGAGACTCTTCTAGCGAGCTGCCTCATCTCGTGGCGCGCCATTCGCGGGAAGAACGATAGGAGAGGTCACCTGGCGTAACCCGAGGAGGTATCACGAGGATCACGTGCTGGCAATAGCTGGTGATATCGAAGAGGGCGGTCAGAAGGTCCTTGAGGAAGTGACCCGAGTAACTCTTGTCCCACACCAGCCAGTGTACGAACAGCGTGTTCCTTCCTGTTACGGAGCGTATCCTTTTCGGGAATCATGTTACTTCGATAAATCGACTTGTCGCAGCGATTTCTTCAGCTGGTCCTTTCCGGACAGCATAAATATCTAAAGTACGCCTCAAGCCCGTATCAACAGTGATTATTAGAGACTTGTCACAAGTGAGATATTCGGATTCGAATTTGCTGGTAGATTTGAACTTTCCTGAGTTGAATTATACGATATGTGTCAAGTTATATTTGCAATCGCGACTCGAGAAATCACACCATCTGAATTTAAATCTGTACGGTAGAAAAAGTTTAATTGAATTTACTCGGTTGAATGAACAAGCCAAATGCGTTTTAGTTGAAAAAGAAAAGAGAGAATTTTTCCTGTTCCTGTAAATCAAATTCGGTTTTTACAGTATAGGATTCTGTTTTCTTTCAGAAAAACATGTTTAATTTGTTCATTGTCAGATAAATTCAACAAAACATTTTCCGTGTGTGTACTCTCCAAATTTCTCAGAGTGAAATTTCACGCAGAACATGTGAAAAATGCCAGTATTTTCACTCAAAGCGATAATAAAAATACTGACAGTGGAACACATCAGATTCGCTCTTCAATTTCGGGCGGAAATATTCGCTCGACGATGAGAATGGAGAATTTATTCTATACGAGATGAAAAATCCCTCGAATCCGAGTGACTCGACTGTCATTCCACTTTTTGATCAAAATTTTAGTCCGAAAATTTCGAGAGTTTCTCACGTGAAACAGCTATTATTGATACGAACCTTAAGACATCTAAGATTTCTAAACGAAATAAGATTCCTTTAGACATTGCTGAAACAACTTTTAATTATTTATGTTGCGTTATCAAACGAACCGACAGTTTGGTCAATATTTGCAAAAGACAAGGATCAAAAATCGATATATCATTACATACGATCGAGCAATGAACCGTAAAGGCTCACCTGTAAATCGTCTTTAACCAAGTCAACCAATCGTCTGACGGTACAGATGGAACGTTGGGGTAATTACAAAGGAATATCCCAGAAACGATGTCGTTTGCCTCGTTACACTGGACCACCGAGAGGCAGGAAGTCTCGCTGCGAATTTTACGTAACGGTAAACATCGAGGAGCACGGAGGAAGTGAATTTACACGTTGCATCGATAGAATAAAATAAAAGGTAGTCGGGGCTGAGGATGTCGCGCTGGGTAAGTACTAGAGTCTATCCAGCTGGACGTGTCCGAAGATCTCGAGAGTGGCCGGGCATGTCAAGCGTACTAAACGTGGTAGATCTCGGTGCTCGGCGCGACGATGACCCGAGATCCCGAGGAATCCTGATCTCTCCTCGATGCCGCCCCAACCGTATCCACCCGGAGCGTCCATTTCGGGTGATCGTGCAAACGTTGTTGCCGCCTTGAAGAACTCGCGCGAAGGCCAGCGCGTTCCCAGCCCTCCCCCCCAGCTTCCGATTTTCATTTTTGCTTGATCGAGCAGGCAACTCGCAGATCTCGATACTTTCATCTGTTCTCGCGCATGCAGTACGCACGGTCGCCCAGCGTGATTACGCGTATGCGAGAACCCGGCTAATCGATATGATCGGGGTGAGCGGCTGGGCGAGGGAAACGGATTTTGCGCGAGGAAACGATCGATCGGGATTAACGGCTGTGCGACTGACCGTGGGAAAAAACCAGACGGACTGTATGGACGACCGACGTGGCGAGCGACTTTAATGCCCGGCAAAAAAGGTAATGACAAAAGTCCTCGGACGGATCTAAACGGAAAGGTGAAGTAATTACTTCGTTTTCTCGCTCCTGCGACCCTGGGGCCCTTTTCACCTGACAACAGGCTTCTGTGTTAGGTGGCATTCACAACGCCAACAAATTCGCCACTCGGAAATGCAAATGTTCCGCCCCGAAAAGATCGCAAGCGATGAAGAGGAAAGATGAACGAGCGTTCGCGGATTATTTTCCTCTCTCTCTTTGTTATTGATATTTTATTCTTATTATTATTATCTGAATTCAACTTGAATTGATGGGTCGATCTGACAGTTCAACTTGGATTTAGATATAGACTTAGTTCGGATTTAGATTTAGTTTAGTCTTGAGAGTTTAGAATTAATCAATTTATAGCTCGATCTTTTCCTTAAGCATATACGACTTAAAGTTCTTTTTTAACCCACTCTCTCAAAAGTGGATCTTTCATTCTCATTTTTTATTTTCTTTCCGCTTTCGCATAATTATTTTTGTTTATGTAATTTAAAATCAGAATGTATTGTTATTTCTTTTCGACTCTACTATGTATCTTGCTTGTCCTTAGAGAGCTCGCCGTAGAATAATAAACGCTGTTCTCTCTCCCTCTCTCTCTTCTCTTATCGCGATGAAAACTTTCATGGCGCAAGCTCCTTGCGGGAACTGTTTACACCACTTCGTACGGTATTACATTCGCGGCGACACGCGGAAATCGGCAATGACGGACGACCGTCACGGTACGTTGCACCCCGACACGAGATCCTCCTTTTCCAAGCAGAGCCGAGTCGAAGCTGCTTGAGTACCGCCCGGTACCGTTTCTTCGGGACGCACTCCTGCTCCACGTCCTCCTGCCGCTTGATTTTCACACGCGTTTATGCTTCGCGCGGCGACACTTTAATCGAATTAGCGTACCTCGCATCCTCGTTTGCGATGCGCAAAGCGCGCGCTGCATCGACGACGCATCGCGGGATTACGTAAACGAGATTACGACGCAGGGATCGAAGTAAGCTGATGGCAGAGAATTAAACTTTGCACTTTAACGTTTAGATTAACTTAGATTAAGCGCTTATACGTCTGTCGTAATCGTGGACGCAAGGCAATAAGTTGTGATGACGACTTAGGTATCTACATTTTTCTCTTGCCTTTGCTTCACGTACAGTCCTTGGCCGCATTATTAGACGCACTATGATTTTTTAATAGAATACAGGTTAGGAGGAGAAGAAAAGCTACTAATTTTATGTTTACTCGATTGGAATAAATTTCGGTGCCGATCAGCGTTTTTACCTCTGCAATCTTCTCAGCTGTCAAATCACTCGTTTTACCCATTATTTTTTTAAGCGATGTTAATATTTTTCACACAAAAATTTATTTTTCTCTCAGCAAGCAAAGAATTTAAAGTTAAATTAAAGTAAAAAATAAAACTAAATTTTAATTGACACACACACACTCAAAACTCACCTCTGTTCTCGTTATTATCAACAATGCAACTAACGCGGGTTCATACTTGTTCAAGGTCGATTGTAATAACGCCAAGTGAAATAACGTCATAAGAAATACCTTTTGTGGAATAAGCGGTTCCTTAACATAATTCGATCGATAGATGAGCCGTATTATAAAGCTGATCCTCGGAAGTAAATGAAATGTAAAAAATTAAGGAGCGTCTAATAATATGGACAGGGACTGTACACGATTGCGACAGGTGTGAGCACCTGTGTCTAGTTCTTTGCCATCAGCCTTAATCTCAACTGGTTCACAGAGAATTCACGGTGTTCCACGAAAATAACAAGCGTCTCAGAGACGCGTCCTTTTCTCCCCGGCTTTTCCCGTCGACTACCGAGGAAGTTACCGAATCGTGTCGGTTGCCAGACTACCTCTTTGAGACTCGTGGCATTTCCGAGTATTAAAATAATGACTTTCGTCATGCAATCACATGGCATCACGATACGTGCACTGAGAAAAAGATTTCTTCGAATTTAATACATTTTATCGCATCCAAATACAAATCTCATCATTGGCGTGCTCCAAAAAAACGTTTCGATTGATAAGCATGATTGTTAGACTTTTCACCGAATATGTATCTTTATCTTAAATAAAAAAATTTAGTACGAAAGACGATTTTCTTATAAAGAAATTATTTGTTTCGTTTTACATATTTTATTGTAACCAAGTAATATTTTATTTGGTTAAAAGATATTATTTCAAATAATAACGTTCTTTCTGTTAAATAATAGAATTTTTTTTATTTAGTTACATGAACTTTTACCACTTCACTGTAAAATTTTCTTGACTGAGGACAATTTTAAGTCGTCCATTAAATGAATTAGAGTTTGCCGGGAAATTACTCTTGATTAGAACTTAATGAGTCATTCTGAATCTTCAAATATAATCCACCAATATATCGATCTGTGACCGGTCGCGAGATTAAAATCAAATCGAGTCGAATCGAATTGACATATTTTATCCGAGATCAGTTCTCACCGGAGAAAATCCCCACGCCGTTGACGCGCCGTGAACTTCTCTCCGCGTGCGACAACGCAACCGCCAGGTGAGTCGGTTTCATTAACGAGAAAGTCACGAGAATGAAGATCTGCCACCTCTGCGCGAACTACCGCTCAACTAGGAACCCTTTCGTCCCTCGCTTCTAATTAGCCCGACAAAGATCCACCGACTGATTACAGGCCGTGAGACTACTTTGCCGCGGAAGAAATTGGCGCGTTAGCTTTGCAGCGTGATAACGACGAGGACGCTCTTATTAATAATAAACGCGCAGGAGCGCAACTTTCCGTGCTTCCGTTGAAATACAAGTTGCGTGCCAATCGCGACGCAATTCGTCTAATGGATTTAAGTTAACAGAAGACGCAAACCGTTATTCGTTAATGCGGCGAATGAAACGTACGGAGGAAAGGATTTGGTTGAATTAAAAAAGTATTTTCACTTGGAACGAGTTTCGTTTGGTAAGTGCTCGGGAAATTAAAGATCATACATGAAATTTGCCCATATATATCATTATATATATCCACAACGAAAAAATACTGTTGTTTAGGAATTATTTGCAAATACAATTCGAAGTCAACGTTTCCGTCTACTTGTGCTTCTGACAGCACACGATATCGACATTCAATTAAATAACAATTATATAATCATATATGTGACCACGTATATCGGCAAAATTCATATATGATTTTATATAATTATGTATAATCACATATAATCATTTTTTTTTCCAGAATATCGTTTTATTTCAACGTATTTCACAGGAATTTTGGATACACGTTTCTCGCTTCTGACGTCATCAGACAAGACGACTGCTGCGAGGGATCGGGAGTTTCAAAATTAAATGATTTTCTTTTGATTTTTATAAATTCATCTTTGACGAAGTTTAGCGACTCTCGTTCATGTCCCGTTCGAGCGCGACTCAGTCGGCGCGCGCGAGTACGATCTACCGAGTTGCAATTAGCGGCGCGAAAACCGCTACGCGAATCAGCTCGCGTTCTCGCGTGAACGCTGATAGCGTGTGCTTGCATTTGCAAACTGTTGCATTCGCCGCTCTCGCTGCGTGCGCTATGAAAAAAGGCCTTTCTCGCATGCCCACCGGTAAGAAAGGCCGTCTCCGCGGCTGTCCCATTCTCCCCAGCCTCGTCGATACGGTGATTCTCGCGTGCGAAGCGGCGTTGCGTGCTTCTATCTTTCACCGACAGACAGAGGACGAATGGCGTTTGAAAACGCGAAAACTTCTCTCTACGCGATATCATAGTGTACTTCTCAAATCGCAGAAACAGAAGTTTCAATCTTTTGCGACGATTCTACAACTTTCGGCTGAAGTCGCCTTAAACTCTGCCTCTCGAACTTAACGATTTTTTTTTTTCCGAACTATCGTTTGTGCGATGCACTTCGTTTGAATTCGGAGATTCACTGGGAATTCTCGATTAAACGTCGACATTTTCAGATTTTTGCGGTAACGTTGATCCGATCGATCACATCATAATTATCGCCATATTCGGTCAAGATGATAAATACCCCGGAAAAAATGATTATATATGATTATATATAATTTTGTAAAATCAGATATGAATTTTGCCCATATATGACCATGTATGTCTATACGGAAACAAATAATATGTTATTTAATTAAACGTGGATATCATGTGCTGTCAGAAGCGCAAGTAGCACCATAAGCATTTAATTCGATTGTATATACATATAATTTGTAAACAACAGTATTTTCTCGTTGTGAACATATATGACTATACATGGTCATATATTCATATATGATCTTGTTTCCCCCGGGTAAACCGATAGCGCGAAAGCTCGCGCTCTATATCGAACGTATTTTTTAAAATACGGACCTTCTCTCTTTAAATATCACTACCGAATGAGGCTTAATATTTTGTTTTTCGACTAAAGCTGTTAACTCTTCGCTCACTCGTCAAGCGAGATTTGCGAGAGATTCGCGAGGCGAATAGAAATCTCGTGGCAAATGAGACAAATCTGAACTGTATGGCTAGGAACCGTTCGATCTGACGCGATCGAAGGACGCTCGGCCTAGCGGGAAATCCCGCGGAAAGAAAGCTTGCTTACTCGTGTCGTTTCGCTGCTGCAGCTTGAAGTTGATCGGAGAGGACGGAGAACGTGGATGATCCGCGCCCGACGATAGCACGCACGCGACTGAGAGACTTTCTTGGACCGAGCTAAACACTGCGTAATGTAAAACACATAGTGCAAGTGGGGGGCAAGCAAGAGCGTGTCACGTGTGTGTAGATCTGACCGTTTTGAGGAATTGCCAACAACATCTCGCGATATGGCAAGACGCATGAATTGCGTATCTGCATTAGCATCGGTGTGAATTGTCGCACATATATAGAAGAAAGAATTATAATAAAATGCATTCAATTTTTAATTACATAAATGTTACGTCCTGAAAGAGGATGTACACAACAGACACCGCATACTCGCGCACTCGCGAGGCCTAAGAAGCTCGAAGAAGCTTGAAGCTTGAGTCTCAAGCTTCAAGAATCTCGAAGGAGCTTGAAGCACATATAAAATGAAAAAAGAAATAAATATATACGATTATTTTCAGGTTATAAAGCAGCAATTTGTAGAAAAAATATTAGGTGTGTAAATTAATTCGATGCCGTTGGTTTTAGAACAGTCTTTTTATGAGGTCAGCTTTATCGCAGAACGGGCTACTAATATTCTATGAATATATCTTATATCTTATATATATATATATATATATGCATATATACATACATACATGCATACATACATGCATACACGCATATATACATACATACATACCTATATATATATATATATATATACCTGTACTGCGCGCGTATCGCGATTTCTTAATAAATCTAGGCCTGTACACGTGGCTAATAGGTCTGCGTGATAATCCGGCCTTGACCCGGTAGTTTCATCGTCGCTCGAGTTACTTTAATCGCGCGAAGGTACCACGCGTAATTCCCCATGCGCGAAGTACATTTTGTATGCAAAGCGACGTTGTACTAATACAAGGTAACAGTCTGTCACGGGTAAATTTGAAGATCCATCGAAGATTTTATCGATTCAAAATCGTCAAATTTTAATCGCGATGGAATTCGACAGCTGGCAAAAGTCGGAGTTAGACAGCGTAGAATCATTGACAATAACGGAAATTATTTGGATAATTAAAATTATACACCTTCCATTGTTAAATAAATTTTGATGTTTGATAATAAAGGCACTAAGTTATTTACATACCTAATGATATATGAAGTTCGAACATATTCATAATTTAATAAAATGTCAATAGAGCTTCACTTTTCTTTTTATTATATTGAGATATTATTTATTCATGAAATTCCAATTATGATACTACATATATACAAAACATTGAAAATAACGCGAGCATCTGTTGAATGCACAGAAAGTAACTGTAACAAACAAAGTACTCATAATTCCTCAAGAGTATTCGAAATACTAGTCGCGAAGTTCGTTATAATAAACTTTTGAGAAATATTTCAAGACGAATTCGATTATAGTTAATTCTTCAAAAATTCTTCAATATTCGTTTCTCTCTCTAATTTTTTAGGTATTCTTTAAAATTAATTCTTTATGAACTTTTATTCACCTTTATGTTATCTGGATGTTCTTCCGCATCTGCTACTCGAGAGAGCTAATTTTTAGATGAAAAAGGACTGATTTCTTCGTATCTTCTTGATCTAATTGGATCATTCAAAGTTAAAAATTGTATTGATGGGATAAGGGAAGAATTCATCAAATTTTAAAAAATGTAATATTTATTCATTGGACTCTGTAAACTCCTCGTTATAGATTTATATAACTTCTCAATAAACTAATTAAACTGGATACAAAACGGCAATGAATAAAAAATGAATTTGTAGACTAAATCACTTTTTACTTATAAAATCTGTGCATATACTTTCTGTATATTGTTAAAAGTGCAAAAAAGACAGAGGTTGATATTCTTTAACGAAATTTTTAGTTTCAAGCTATAAAATAAAATTATATATAAGATAATAAAGCTAAGCATAGTTGGAAAGAATCCTTTGCGAAAACAAGAACATTTAAATTATTCACATATTATTGTAAATTATTATTATTAAATTAATATATTATAAAAATTGATCGCAAATTTTCGCATTTCTATAACCACCGTTCGAATGTATACATTCATTATTTTAATGGAGAAAAATGTCGAAATAAATGTGTGTATATATATGT